ATAAATACATTTTAAGAAAGCACTTAAGCCCTGCCTATGTCCTAGGCATCCTCTTTTCTCAAGCAGCTGGCATGTGATAAGAGAATACAAAAAACTTAAACCCCAATTAGAATCTGTGAGGTGAACACTGTGCCAGTGCTACGTAGAGTGAAATCATGGGGGCTAACAGGATGGGCACAGATTTTAGTGTCTTTGTGTTTAGAAAATAAGAGATCTCAAATTCTTCTTTTCCATTTCAGTTTCACATGTGTTTCAAGGTTACAACATATTCTAATAGAGAGATGGGGGCAGGGGAAGGGTTTACACAATCTTAATATTTTTTTGAATGTTAAGCACCAGCACACATTCTTTTCCAAATACTTTCAAGGGCATTTTCTTAGAATCAGGTAAATGAGAGCAAGCAAGTGACCTACTTACAGCAAAAAAAAATGCTCCAGGTTATAAAGGATGGGGAGCCAAGTGCATCCTGGAAACCACAGCATCTGGTCTTGTTTTATGCTTCATCTATCAATCTGCTGTTACAGAAATTGAGAATTAATGTTTCAACTACTGTTTCTTCAGTTTTGGCTGATGAATTCATATCTTTGTTCCTCTCACCCAATCCTTTGCATCTCCTCTCCCATGTAAAACACCATATGGAAGACCATTTATAAAGGTCCCAAACGAATCCTAGGGAAGAGGACTCATTCGCCTGTGCTTTAAATCCTCTGCTAATGAACTATAGTAAGGTTAGACTTCTTCCCAAGCAATTCTGTTTTGATGGATCGTGACTTTCCACAGACAGTATCACTTGAGCAGTGTTATTTTCAGTACTGTATGAAGCTGAATGATAAAATATTGCAGATTTAAAATAAATACCCAAGTTCTAGATGATGTTTATTGCTCGCCTAAACTGTAAAAACGTCCACTTGGCAGTAGTGTTTAAGAAAAAGGATCGTGTAGCGATGTAAGGTTGTGGCTTAGTGCCATCCTGATAACATTAGAAAATCACATACACGCATATTTTAAATTACGTGTAAAAAATTTTTTAAAGTTTATTTATTTTGAGGGGCGGGGGAGAGGGGGAGGGGCAGAGGGAATCCCAAGCAAGCTCCACACAGCCAGCATGGAGCCTGACGTGGGACTCAATCCCATGAACCATGAGATCATGACTTGAGCCGAAATCAAGAGTTGGATACTTGAGCCACCCAGGCGCTCCTAAATTATGTGTGAAATTGAAAACACAGAAACATGAAAAGTAGATTTACGACATGTTCTTTAAACTTTGCTATTGCATCTTTTAGCTCTCTGTGCTTTTTATAGAATGGGGCTACCAATTCATCTTTCCATTCCTTCCAAACTGCTGAAATTTTAATTTTTCGTTGCTTTTGCCTCAACTCCATCTTATTCTTTCTATTGGAGCTTCAAGCACTTAATCTTGGTCTTTCACAGTGTTTTTATGGCTTCAGGTACAGCTTCATATTCTTGCTTTACTTGTCTTCTCCAACCATTCTATTTAACTTGTCAAAGTAATAATGAAGATTATTCTATACTGATGAAATGTTTTTAAAAGAACCAAGGCTACCAAGTGACTATTATACTGGCATAATTACTGCTATATAACTTTATCTATTTGTTGAAGTTCTGCTCTTTTCTATTTTTTTAAAGTTTATTTTTTTATCTTGAGAGAGAGAGAGAGAGAAAATGCAAGTGGGGGAGGGGCAGAAAGGGAATCCCAAGCAGGCTCCATGCCATCAGTGCAGAGCCTGACACAGGGTTTGAACCCATGAACTGCGAGATCATGATCTCAGCCAAAATCAAGAGTCAGATGTTTAATGGACTGAGCCACCCAGGAGCCCCAAAGTTCTGCTCTTTCTAAATCACTGTCAAGGGAATCATTTCTAACAAACAACAAACACGGTCAGGTTTACTGTGCTTACTTATCCACAAATTTCAGATTTGTTTCTCCTTCCAAAGAGATTTTATTTTGAATCTGATCATGAGGGTTCCTTGTCTTGATATCTTGATATATCCCAGCTGACTTAATGGTTCAGCTGATCAGATAGGCTTTGGGGACTGGGGCAATAGAGATTTTTGCAAAAATACATCTAAAATCATCACTCACTAGAGCAGAGTTTCTCAAAGTGTGATCCAAAACTACCTATGTGCAAACCATCTCAGGTGCTTATTCAACATTCAAACCCCTGGGCTAAAACTTAGAGCAGTTAAATGGGAGCTTCTAAGGCTAGGACCTGGGAATCTGCATTTTGCCATGTTGTCCAAGTGTACAGGCCCACAATGAAATCTGAGAACCCCAATCTAAGGAATCCCTTCCCCTTCAGGATGCAGTACAAAGATTTACCTTGGCTGCAGAGCAAATTAATCACACTCCCATCCTAACAAAAGTAAGGGATAATTCAATTCCATGTGGTTCGAAGAACTGCCATAAACTGTTTTAGGAGGCATTGATTAAAAGGAAAGAAAATAAGACAAAAACCCAAAACCTAACTTTCAATAATAAATGCAATAGTTATTTTTAATATCTTGATTCCAATGATCACAGGGGGAAGGCCCAGAAAGTCCACAAAAAAAATCTGTTGTTATAATTTCCTGATTAATATTATACATAATGAATTATTTATTGAGCCCCTACTGTGGGCCAAATATGGTGTTTTATGCTGCCAGGGATTATATAAAGCTATCCTGGGATGAAAAGCATATGTTCACTCAGCTCTATTCTGGAAGAACCTCACTGATTTAGTGATTGCTGGAAATGAACATGCATGGTATGTGGGAAGGCAGTAATTTGACGTCTTAGGACCCAGACATAAGAGGCTTCCTAAGAATTTGCTAAATGTAAATTACATCCAAGAAGTATGTGTGTAGATACTTGGTGTCCAGCCAAAGCACTGGAAGAGGAATGAGAAGCAGCATTGATTTGGGGGCATGTAGACTCTTTAGCACCCGTCTTGGCTACTTTATCCAACAACTTCCTGTACAATCATACATCCTCCAGGTGAATTGAGACTAGATACAATCACATTGGGAGCTCCCCTTCATTCTAGAATTCATTTAAGGTGTCCCTAAGAGGGGACCAACGCTTCATGGTTTGCCTGACACTTCCTCTGTTTCAGCAATCAAAGTCCTAAGTTCCAAAAACCCTCTTGGTGTCAGACGAGCTGAGTAGACTGGTCACCCTGATCCTTAGCATAAGGCAGGTGAGGTCTTTAGTTGGTGCATTTTCATTCAGTGAAGGATGGAAATCCATGACCATCTTGAACTTTGCAGCTCCTTTTCTTTACTGGAGAGCGTGACTACTCTAGTGGGACACCTAAAGTTCTTTCCTTCAGTATTCTCTGCCTTCTAGCTCTGACAATGCATGTTCCAGGAGCATCCAAGCTCAGATCGACTCAGACTGAGGATAATCCTAGGGAACCAGTAGAGAGCCTCTGCCAAGACTGCTGAGCAACCATGGTTTTTGGGTTTGGGTTTGTGAGTTTTTGTGGTGTTGTTGTTTGTTTTTTGTAAACATCGTCCAGGTCTCATCATCATCCTGTTCTTCCCAAAGTTCTATCTCCTCTCTAAATAACGAGTCTAGCTCTCCCAAACCTATCTTCATATCATTGAGTATTAAATTCCATCCTAACTGTCATTGAACCCAATCACAGTTTTAAAATATTTACATATCCCTGCCACCTCATCCTCACCCTTTAAAGCCTTATGATTTTGTCATTTCATAGTCTTCTTTCAGCGAAACTTTAAAACATAACTGGGATGAAACTATCTCAAAGAGAAAGTGTAAAGTGTAGGGTATGAATTAGACAGACTTGGTTCCAGCGAAATTTGCCAGTTAGGTACATGAACTTAGTAAAGTTTCTTTCCCCAAGCCTCACAATCTGCTCATCTATAAAAACAGAGAAAGCAATGGCTACTTCAGAGGACTGGGTTTTTTGAGGAATTTAGATTATGGATTTGAAGCACACTGAAGCATATAGCCTGATACTTAGTAGGCTTTCAATATACTGCAGCGACTTTCCTCACCCCAGCATCACACGCTTGTAACAAGGGTGGCATACACTAACTTTTACTATCAGGCTGCAGAATTTCAGATATCAAAGATGATGGCCAAAGCAGAAAGGCACAAACTGCCTTCCTGAGGAGGGTAGAGAGCAACCGTCTCACTGCTTCGTAGTCTCACCTCCTCTATCTGAAGGAAGTATCTGGAAACAGTGGCTAAAGTCATCTTGCCCCCTGGTAGCCTGTGTGTTTTCAGGAGGCGCGGGCCCTGCTCCCTGGGGACCTCTTGTGTCACGTCTCTCATTCTGGAAAGGGGAAGGTGTAGAAGAAAAAGGGAAGTCACCGAAATGCAAAACCTGGTACCAGATAACCTATTCTGCTCCGAACACCGGTCCTGCCTGGGTGGGCTGCAAAGTTGTTTTGCAGGATTTTCAGGCGCCACCCCCAGGTGTTTGTCAGCGCGCGGGGACGGGGGAGGAGGGTGAGCTCACCCTAGAAACTGAAAGGCAGATGGTGAGGGGCGGGGGGTGGCCATGCGCGTCAGCGCTTTGGCTAAAGGACAGACCGAACAGCGGCCTCACGTGGGGTGAGGGGCTAGGGGCGGGAGTTAGGATCGAGGAGGAGTCAGGGAAGAACTCTGCGGAGACACCGGGCATTTCTTGGCACTATGAGGAAGGCTCCCCGATGTGTCAGTGTCGCACTCGGAGCCCGCGAGCTGGGCAGGGTCCTTCTGCGATCAGCGCCTTCCCCTATCGTACCTCTGAGACTCCGCAGCTAAACCCGGAGCCTGAGCGAGGGCTGCAAGCGGACACACCCGCTTCGCGGGAAGCCTCAGTCCCGCAGAGGGCAAGAGAGATCTTGCGGGACGAGCCCTCTCCCGTCCGCGGCCCCCGCAGTTCCTGAGAGCCGGAAACGCACTCCCTCCTCGCCGTCGGCCCGGGGAGGCGCATGCTCCGTGCGAGGGGGCGGGTCACGGTTCCCGCCGGAAGCATTCTCTCCCAGGCGGCGTTTCCTTCCTGTGTGAGGCTGGCTGAGGGCTTCTGCTGCCTCAGTGTCCGCCCTGGGGTGAGTAGCGGGGTCCTCGTGGGACGGGCGCGGGCTCCCGCGGAGCCCCCTTGGGGACCGGCTGGCCTCCGGGAAACCGAGCAGGAGAGGTCAACGCGCCCTCCTCCCACGCCCCACCTCGGTGCCGCCCCCCCCCCCCCCCCCCGGCGTCCCGCAGCCCTTGGTATCCCGCGGATTAACCTCCAAGGGCGTCCCGGGCCTCGCCTTGGCTTCCGGCCCGGCCTAGGCCCTTAGGTCTCCCGTTAGCGCTACCCCTCTGACTGATGCCACTTGCGAGGGGACCTGTGTAGGCAGCTGGGGGCGCTGCGGGGGCTTGGGGGCGTTCCGGGCGACCTCGGCACCGGGGGGTCCTGGGCGGAGGCGGCCGGAGGGAGCCGGGTCTGACTGTCGCCCCGGCGCTGCCACCACGTAGTGCAGAGGCGGAGGCGGTTCTTCGGGCCAGGGCACGCTTTCGCAGAGGATGGTGCTGAGCGTAATAACGCGTCCTTTATGTGAAGGTTGGCAGGCATTGTCACAGGCTGTGTTCCTGGGGCCTTGTTCCCTGCGAAACTGGGACTCCGGGGTTGAGACAAACTTTCTGCAACCCCGCGGTGAAATAGGACCGAAACACTCCACCCTCGGCCTCTCAGCTGTCAGTCGATTGCTTAGTGACGAGGTGGTCCGATTTCCAAAAGTTTTCTGCCCTGAAACGGAGAACTCTCTAAGTGAAACTCCCTGGGATCACGTTTGCCTAACAGATAACTGCGAATTGGCAGCGTTTGGGTTTATTTCTTTGTTGTACGTCATACTGTCTGTTTATGTACATATTTGTGTGTGCATTTGGTTCGTCGTTAACGTCTATACACGATTGAAACCCATGCCCTACTGTTGTACGCAAATGGAGCTTTGGTTGTGTTTTCTGCTGTCGTGGCACGGCTCCTGCAACGGCCTTAACATTGCAGGTGTATCAATGTCGTATGAATGATAGATGAGTGTACAATAAAGTATATACAGTTTCAACCTACAAGTAGAAGTTTCTGTTTCATTTCAGGATTTCAGAGTCATTGTAGAAGACGGACTACTGTTTTAGAGGTGGTCATAGGTCTAGAGTACTCTACGACAGGCACTAACTTAAATACAGGAATATGTGTAGCTAACAGGTTTTATGTCATGATACTCCCTGTAGGATTCGAAAGTGGCATTGTCTCGATGTCTGGGATGTACTAAATATCGCCCTGGTTGTTCGTGCAGTTCGGCGAACATCCAGCAGATGGCGGTTTCATCACTGCCAACCCAAACTTTTAAATAAAGGGAATCCTTTTATTCAGATGTCACTAGTTTTCATAGATGAGGCTAATAAGACCTTGATTTTTGCCTACTGGCTTATTTTCCTGTATGAATAATATCCCCACACAATGATTCCACAGGTTCCAACTGCATTTTCAAATGTACCCTGTTGGAATGAAGGTTAGCTAGGTCAATTTTCCTCTTATCAGAAGCGGAGTGCTGTTAACTCCTCTTTAGGAGTCCGTGCTGACGGATGAAAGCACACTTCAGTTTGTTACATGAGGAGAGAGTTTAATTAGGTGGCTCCTCCCTAGCTCCGTTTATAAAAATATAATTAATAACTGGACTATGTGTTCCTTGAGCAAAGTCATTGTCTCTTAGCCATTATTGTATGCCAGTATATAGTAGGCATTATACATATATATTCATGTTCAGGAGGCGCTTTATGGTTTGACTCAAATCACTTAATGTCCCTAGGTCAAAGTTTCTTCATCTGAAATGAAGGCTCTCAATTATTTTGTTAAGTAAGTTGAAGTTAATGATGTACTGCTGTGAAGGAAATGGCCCCTAGTGATGGAGACACGTGGAACCCTTGACTTTTTGTTTTGGAAATCATTCAAAAGTCTGGCAGCGGTTTTGTTGGAATGATAGAGTGGGAAGTTTTTCTGCAGTCGGAGTTCATCTTTTGAACAGATAATTACTGAGTAGCCTCTCTCTTATGTGGAGAAGATATCAATCCCTTTTTATAAGGAGTTGAATTCTGGTTGAGTAGGCTAGGCATTATATAAGCTCAATAATGGGGCCACATGAATAATACAGGATATCAATGTGATCTGAAGGCTTTGAGGTGTGGATAGAATTTGACTGATCCTGGATAGAGGGGGGGAACTGGCCTATCTGGGGCACCAGGCAGATATGGTAGAGGGAAAATACACGTGGCGTTTTCTGGTACCAGTGCCTCCAGCTACAGAAGGGGTGAGCTGGGTTGGGGCTAGGTTAGGATGCCTTGAATGCTTGGAAATCCTGTTAGTAAAGGAAAAGCTTTGGGGAATTGTCGGAGCTATCCCAGGGGAGGGGCAGTGAAGGTCTTTAACTGGGTAGTAGGCGTGAGAAGGCAAACCTGATGTTAGAGGAGAAAAGACCACGGATGGTAATCTTTGCGGTTCCTGATTTTCACCTGTTGCTGAGCTGTCTGTGCAAAGTCTCACTTACTCCTTTTCACCTGAGTGCAAAATATATTCTCTCTCTCCCTCTGCCTCCCCCTCTCTTATTTGTATAGCATAGCACTCAGCACGGTCCTGTGCTATGAGAGACTAATGGCATTGTTCGAAGCCGAGATCCTATTTTGCAAAATGTGATAGTCAAATCATCCCCTAACAGCCTTAGTTTTCTGGGTAGTTACTGCCTCTGCTAGGCATGTGCATGCCTTCTGCAAGCCTGTACGGGACTGATGTAGCTGCTCAGAGATGCGTGTCAAAGCAGGCATGTTGCCTCCTTTTTCCTCTCTTGGGTGAGTACTGTAATCTTGTGGCTCAAAAATGTTTGAATGTATTGCTTCATATTTAGCTGGGTTGTTGGAAACGATAGGATGGCTCAAAAAATTTAACGTCACTTATTAATAGAGAAAATGTCATGTTTAAATTTAAGCAGGCCTTGAAAACCTTTGGAAGTAAGTCTGACTCTTAAATATGGAGAACAAACTGAGGGTTGCTGGAGGGGTCGTGCGTGGGAGGGGGAATGGGCTAAATGGGTAAGGGGCTCTGAGGAATCTACTCCTGAAATCATTGTTCACTGTATGCTAACTAACTTGGATGTAAATTAAAAAAAATTAAATTTAATTTAAAAAAAGTAAGTCTGAGGGCGAAGCAAGTCTGTTCACGGTTTTAATTTCGCTCAGAAATTGCCTGCTGTCCATTGTACTTAGAAGAAATTCTTTTCACACTAGTAATGGGCTGCCGCCTTCAGTTGGGTTAGTGTTATAGTCAGTGTATCTCTACATTTTCTGAAGTAGTTATTTAAAAGCTGTTTAAAAGAGTAAATAAATACTTTAAGATATTGAATGCATTTTTCATCTAGAGTTATTGTCTGCTTAAATTCTGAGCTTTTAGGAAAATTCATTAAAAAGTATAAGAAATCTTCAGTGTTTTAATATGTGCCGTCATTTTCCAAAGAGAGCTTAAAATGTGTTTATTTAACATTTGAAAATTCATTTTCCCTCAAAATAAACCCTTTAAGGTAGATATTGTTGAATTTGACTAAGTTTTTCCTGCTGAGGGTGAACTACCTCTCAGTCTCCCGGTTTTAATCAATGTAGTTATTACCTAGTGACATTTCTGTTTGTTTTTTAGGGTTAATCAAGATGGTACATGCTGAAGCCTTTTCTCGTCCCTTGAGTCGGAATGAAGTTGTCGGCTTAATTTTCCGTTTGACGATATTTGGTGCAGTGACATACTTCACAATCAAATGGATGGTAGATGCAATCGATCCCACCAGAAAGCAGAAAGTGGAAGCTCAGAAACAGGTACGAGTGAGATGTCTGAGGGTCACTTTCCTTGTAGCTAGCTGCAATTTGGCCGTAAAACAAGGGGTATAGTAGAATTACACACTGAGAGGTTCGCCGTGTGAAAATGTGTTTGAACATCGTATTTAATTTCATTGTTTCTTAAAAAAGTGCTCGCTTCTCAACTTTCCAACTCTGTTAGTAACTTACCAGAATAAAACAATGATGAAGAATAAAGACATTCCAGCGTTTTGTTGTGAACATGTTCATTAGAAGATTTTTGTCAGCTAATGAATGAGGGAGTCTAGGTAAAATTTGTCAACAGACTGAAGAAAAACAATTTATCTTTAGTAATGATATACAATTTGTTTTGCATGACATTTGAAATGTGGATAATACTGATAAGCTGCGATCTTACACTTGCAAACTACTCTGATTTCTAATTTAAAAATTGTTAAATGTTATTAGAAGAAGTAGTAGTTTTTAATTTTTTTCTGTTATTGCCTCTTGTGGTCATTTCCTTGTTAGGATGATATATTTGCTTTGGTGTCTATTCTTACTCAAAAAAGTAGAACCCTTCAAGGAGCCTCTCAAATTTTTCTTGCTGTTTGAGGGCAAGATGTTCCTCCTGTTGGTCAATTTTTAGATTCCTTCTGTGAGTTGTGACTGGTGAACTCAGTAAACATTTACTGAGCTCCTAGCAGATTCTTGGTGCCAAGGGTAAAAGGTGAATAAATCTTGTTCTTTTAAAATGCTCGGGGCTAATGTGGCAACCCGGGATGTGGATAGATGACTGCCTCACGGCACTGCGCATAGTTTGTAAATCGGCAAGAATCAGTGTCACGAACACTGCTTAGTGTTTGTAACTGAAGAGCAGTTCAAACAGGTGTGAGTTTGTTCCCTAAATTTGATTACAAAATAGTTGACTCGAGGTCTAAATCATGTCATGATAACAGTCATTTTGTCACTCTCTGAGATGTCTGACCATTGCCAGGTATGTGTGTGTGTGTGCACGCGCGCCCGTGTGTCTGTGTAACTAAGTATATCCTCGTGTCAGCTGAAGTGCAGCTTTTCCCGCCACCTACACTATGAGAGCCCACTTCAGTCTGAGGTCACAGTGTTAACCGGTCATATCATTTTCAGAATTTTTAAAATCAGAGATGTGACTATCTTTTAAAGTTTATTTTATTTTGAGAGGGGGAGGGAAAGGGGCAGAGAGAGAGGAGAGAGAGAAGAAACCCAAGCAGGCTCAGTGTTTTCAGTACAGAGCCTGACACAGAGCCTGATCCCATGAACCTCAAGATCATGACCTGAGCTGAAACCAGAGTCGGATGCTCAACCACCACCACCACCACCACCACCACCCCCCTCGCTTAAAAAAAAAAAAAAAAAAAAAAAAAAAAAAAAAAAAGAATGCTGGAAGGACTTCGTGATTATATGGGAAAACAAAAGGACATTTTACAAATGAATCCAAGATTTGTCTGGAGTCCTCGGAGACTCACAGTGTCTTTCATAGAGGTTTAGAAACTAGTAGCTAGGGCACGTTTGTGGGAAGATGATACTTGATTTGGGCATATTGAGTTTGTATTGGTGGTAGGAATCCTGGAGAAAATGTTCATCCAGCAGTTAAAATTGTAGGTGTACATCTTGGAGGAAAGATCAGTCCTCAGAGCATCCATGAGATGCTCGTAAGCAGTCAGACTCCTTAGAGAAGTGAGTCTCACTGGATGCAGTGGGCCCAAGGGTAATTCTTGTAAAAACCTATCATTTGTGGGGTTTCCCCAAACCACTCCTCCATCTTCCTCCTACCACCACCAGGATTTATATGTTCAAACTTTGTTGAGAGTTTTTCATGTAATTGTCACTGTGATAGATGGGGATGACTATGGGAAGCAATGAGATCTCTAAAGGAGATGCTATCAAACACCATGAATAGTAGGCCAAAGAGTCAGCCTTCATCTAGGGAATGGGGAGACGAAGTGAAGCCAGTGGAGAATGAATAGGTCAGTTAGGGTAACTAGATACCTGGACTCACCTTTCTGCTGAGAACAACTAAACGATCTAGATAAAATATTTTCTAAAATCATCTTAAAGGTATTCATGAGCTAGCAAGAAAGTAAGAAATTCAGCTAAAAAACTGAAGGCAAAGATCGAAAAAGATACGATGAGCTTTGATGGCCAGCTTTCACGTTGGAGGAGAATTTGCTGAACCCACTGAATTTGAACTTCTCTTTTTATGGCCTAGAGGAGCTCAGGACACAAAGCACAGGCCTATTCCAAGGTAGGGTATCCAAGAGACAACAGTCCCATAAATCTTTGACTCCAAAAGACTATACCCTCTGGTAATTCACCTAAAGATAAAGATGTGAGATGGTTTAAAAAGAGAAATTTACGACATATACTGGTTGAAGTGCCACGTAGAAATTGTAGATACAGAAAGTTGTTGAGAATAAAGTGATGGAAAATGCATATGCCATACAAATACAAAGAGAAAGCTGGGTGAACAAAAATAAACTTTAAGGCAAAAATATTAGAGAAAACAAGGTTCATTATGGAATGATTAAACGTTCTGTTCAACAAGAAATAGAACATTTCTGTATTCGTGTGCATCTATTAATGCAGCCTCAAAATATATAAAGCAAAAAACTGATGGAACTATAAGGAGAAATAACATATCCATCATCATGGTGAGAGGTTTTTAACATTGCTTTCAGTAATTGGTAGATGAAAAGTTTTTTTGCTTTGTTTTGTTTTAATTCCAAACAGTCAACACACAGTGTTACATTAGCTTCAGGTGCAAAATACAGTGGTTGGTCAATTGTATACATTTCTCAGTGCTCATCATGATCAGTATACTCTTAATTCCCCTTCTGCTGTCGTACCTCTTCCCTGCCCCCACCTCCTTTCTGGTAACTGTCAGTTTCTCCTCTATAGTTAAGAGTCTGTTTTTTAGTTTGCCTCCTTTTTCTCTGTTCGTTTGTTTTGTTTCTTAAATTCCACATATGGTGTTTGTCTTCCTCTGATTGACTTATTCACTTAACATTATACCCTATACATCCATCCACGTTGTCACAAATGGCAAGATTTCATTCGTTTTGACAGCTGAGTAATCTATTGTGTATCTAGACCACATCTTCTTTATCCATTCATCTATTGATGGACGCTTGGGCTGCTTCCATAATTTGGCCCTTGTAAACAATGCTGCAGTACACATAGGGGTGCATATATCTTTTTGCATTAGTGTTTTTATTCTGTGGGTAAATACCCAGTAGTGGAATTACTGGATCGTATGGTAATTCTAGTCTTAATTTTTTGGGGGTACCTCCATACTGTCTTCCACAGTGGCTACACCAGTTTGCACTCCCACCAACAGTGTGAGTGTTCCGTTTGCTCTGCATTCTTGCCAACACTTGTTGTTTCTTGTGTTTTTTATTTTAGCCGTTGTGACAGATGTGAGGTGATATTGTGGTTTTGATTTGCATTTCCCTGATGGTGAGTGACATTGAGCATCTTTTCATGTGTCTGTTGGCCATCTGGATGTCTTTGGAGAAATGTCTGTGATGATTATTTGGGTTTTTTGATGTTGAATTGTGTAATATCTTTTTTTTTTTTAAGTTTATTTTTGAGAGAGAGAGAGAGAGAGAGAGAGAGCGCAAATGGGAGAGGGGCAGAGAGAGAGGGAGACAAAGAATTCAAAGCAGGCTCCAGGCTCCTAACCATAAGCACAGAGCCTAATGCGGGGCTCAAACTCACGAACCGCAAGATCATGACCTGAGGTGAGGTCAGATGCTTGACTGACTGAGCCACCCAGATGCCCTAAATTATATAAGTTCTTTATATAATTTGGATACTAACCCTTTATCGGATATGTCATTTGCAAATACCTCTCTCATTCAGTAGATTGTCTTTTAGTTTTGTTTT